TTATACTACTAGCTATTGAATGGCTGTTGGTGGAGCCTCAAGGCACGGCATGATGCGTAGGTCCCGTAACGCGATTGATGAGCTCTCTGATCTTCGCCCGTTTCCCCTACCACCAGCACACTCCACATCCCTTAAATGCAGCTGCGAATCAAGCGTTGCGGTCGCTCATATCACGGGACCACCCGCCACTCTAAATTGATTAGTTGTACAGTACCTCAGTTATGTATCGTATGGTTATACTCCACTTTTGCCATCTTTATTTACTACAAAATGGATTTAGCACGCTTCAAACACCCCGTCTTCCTACTATAGACCTAAATGCCCGTTTGCTGTGAGGCTTAGTGATCCTCTTCAACCTTTTCATAACCGCAAAGCTATTTCAGATTAACTTTGACTGTATGTGTCACCCTCGACGTCTTCGGCCACTACAAGGGCACAGCTCTGACGGTCGTGATCCATAACGTGACAGCAGAGTCAGTGAATCCGAATCATCGATTTTTTGCGGTTTCATCCGCTAAATCTTTTCCGATATTATTTCTTGCCTTGGCAGTGCAGGAAGTAGGCCGAAAACTCCTTCCTTTCAAATAGCCGAGGAGGAAAACAGTAGATAAACCTCCGTTTTGGCAAGGCGTCAGTATAAGTTGGGCAAAGTCACGCGTTCTTTTGACTACTTCCGATGGTCTCCTGTTTAGCAGGAGAAACATCTCACCAATCTTCTAGAAAACGTGCAGAACTTTCTCTCATACTAGGTAGGTTTAAAGTTGTGTTTAGGATGAACAATGGAGCAAAAGCTAGTGTTAGAGGTAGGATTAGGTTATGCTGAGGCTGTGTGCACGCGAAGGCGGGCTCTTGAAATGTCATTTACCCCAAGTACGGAGACCCAGGTAGACAGATTTATATGAATTAAGAGCGGTATCTCTAGCATTCTTTTTGGGTCTCCGGCTGAAAGCATGGCCCGTTTCTAATCAGTAAAAACTTGACATTATTCCCCCAGTCAGCACGGTGAATTTGAAACTTCAGGACTCAACCGTTTTCTGACTGCGGCTAATCCCCATGTTAATAATCCCTCAAAAATTATTCTGTTACTTCCAAGTTATTTCCTAAACACACGCACACACTTCTGTCCCACAATAAAAAGAACTGTGAGAGTGAACTCTTTCTCTTTTGTGATTTATTTAAAAACATCATCAATCATTCAGTCTTCCCCCCAGTTGCTCAGCATTTTCAGTTCTATCCTTGTTCCAACGATCACGGCAGGGCGAAAGGGGGCAGTGAGACTGTTTGCCCCTCGCAAAGCATGTCAGGTCATGAAATTTGTCAGTTGTCCAGCTTGCGCAACGCACACTTTTGCTCTCTCTTTCTCTCTCGCTTGTCATAGCTCCACTTATATGA